AGTAAGTAAGTACGTATATATATATATATATATATATATATATATATATATATATATATATATATATATATATACCTAAACAACTAAATGATTCGTTAAAAAATGAATTAAAAAAAGACAGGAAATCTAATCGAATTCTTTGGGATCTTTTGGAGTGCAAGAATGTCGATAAATGCGCATTTTCATATCCGTTCGTTCATACGTGCACACATGATCTTTATCACATTTGCACCTGGAAATTTTTTAATCATGGAAATTAAATTTTATCAAGTACTGGGTCTGTGATACGGTAAGGTGCCGGTTTAATAACTGCTGGAGCAAGTACAGATTGAATAGATTTTCTTTTTTTTTTTGCAAGCAGGTACTCTAGTGAATTCCTGAATAGATATTTTCCCCGGATTTATATTTATACCCCTGCGAATGTTATAGAGTAGGTTTGATTGCGCCAACTCATCTAGATTCCACTGAATGGTTGATAAGCGCGTGGGATGGGAATGGATTATAAGAGGGTGAAAAGAGAAGGAGTGGAATCCCGGAAATTTATTGTTCAACACTTATTTATTGGACGATTTCGATGATGAATACAATTAAATAAACAGACTTTATTTTATCACAAAAATACAAACTTACCATGACTTGACCCATTTTAATGGCGGATAACCGTTAATGGTAAAGCTATAGAAACCGCAAGGTTCACGGTACGGTATGCATTCTGGAGATGATGAATCGAATTCAGGTTCCTGTAATAAATAGTAGTTAATGTTGGTTTGAACTTCTTGTTCAAAGAATCCCGAATTGAATTGAATTTTCTAATACATTTTAAGTGACTCAAGTCTTTTTATGAGATTTAGGTTCTTTCAGTTTTTCATGTGCTAAATGACTTTTTCCGATTTTTTAAAAGTTTTTCCGTATAAGGAATGACAGTTACATTATCTGTACAAAGTTTAATCAGGGTTAAGTCATAGATCCATCTTGTTTAACTTACTGGAAATAGATCTGGGTTCATCCTGGGCGGTACCCATTTCTTTCCTTTGTATATTTGACCAATATTTTCTGTCAATCCAGTGATAATTAATACGGCACAGGCGATTCTGGACTTCATTATATGCTTTTTTCAATATCTGATGCATATGTAAATCAATATATGATGGACCCATTATTTGAATATAATTCAGAGAAGAAGCGTAACGTTTTCCTTTTTCTATCCATGTTCGAAGCATTGAAAGGTTCGAAGTATTCGAAGCATGTTCGAAGCATTAGTAGAAAGCTATCCACAGCAAAAAATATGTTATTAGTAACCTTGTGAATTGATTAAATACAAAGGCAGTTTCAAAAGTTGAATTTTTAGGATTAATGATCTGATATATCTCTATAACTGAGTATGGCTACTTGCTAATATTACTTGACAAACGTTATGACCCAAGATATGTGTAGTGTAAGAATCCAGACTCTCGTTATAACTTTATGAGTACAGTTTATGCTGTTTAAGGTAAACAGTAATACAGCTGTGCGTCTGATGTTCCATTCTTTGACTTCTAATAGAAGCTAATAGCATTCCATACCTGATAGATAGTCTTTGGGTTTTTTCAGTTTGGTATTCGCTTACTCTCAACGGTCAGTGCTTGTTTTCTTTTGTTTAGTCCAGGAGCTACTGGAATATCTTAACGTTGTAAAGTTCAGTTTCACTTGCTTAATCTAATGTCACTTTCAAATTAAGCTTACAGTCCCTTTACTGGTTCAGCTCTTGGATTTCTAACTTCCATATTTATAACCACTTTTGAGCGATATAAAATTATAGCTCCATGTAAGTTTAAAATAAAAGGGGTACATATATAATTTATACACGTTAACTTTTGCTTATATTCTTTAAAATCTATTTAATGAAATGAATGGCTTGAAAATTGTTCAACTGTCAAGAACCGAATCTTAGTATCTTAACCTCAACGTCAGTACTTTTACAATCAGTATTTTCGTTATAGGATCGGGAAAACGGGCACACAAGCCGGATATTGCAGAGGTTAGTATTGTAAGTCGAAATGTTTTCTCTAGCTTCGTCAAAAGTGTAAAAATAATTCACTAAGTTAAAGAAGGTATATATACTAAAAAAAAACATAATAAAAAATATGTTGAAATTGGTGAGTTTTATTCATACTTTTCGTATCATATAGTTGTCAAAGCATTAGACTTACGGAATACACTTGATGAAGCCGGATGTAAAAATCTGTTTTTTTTCAGCGGTGTCGATTACCTTTTAATGACAGTGATATGGATATAAATCTTATTCCATATTTCCGGACGTTAGGGAACTTCCCGGTTTTATCTACAGTGATTTTGTTAATTTACCATAAGATGTAATTTGAGTAGTCAAGAAATTTAACAGCTAGTTTTTCAGAAGTTTCACATCGAGCATAAGAAACTAAAATCAGAGAAGTGTAATGAGAAAGAGAAGAAATTGCAATCTAACGAAAGGATAAAGCAATATTCAAAAAAACGCTTAAAGTTTGGATTTCACTAAAAGCCCTTCGATTATCTTTCTCCACTGTTTTTCATTTTTCCACTCTTTCTTGGGTTATATACAAGAATATTTTAGCTCGCCAGACCATAGAGATCATTCACGATCTTATCGTCATGAACGACCGGTAAGCCGTAAATTACATGTACACAAACGTTCAAGAAGCCGTGAAACTCGCGCACATCGGCGATCAAGAAGTCGTGAAACACATGAACATCAGCGATCATATCGACGTTGATATATAATATTGTTTCCGATATTTCTAATTGTAATAAAAAAAGTGGTAAAAGTGTGGAAGATAATCGTTCAAATGGGGATCAGAAAACAGGTAAACCATGATCTTAAGTAGGAGAGGGATGTGGGAAGAAAGAGAATGAATAAGGTCTTCATCTTAATTTGTAAAGTTCTCTCTACAAAGAATATTGATTACTCCCTAATGTCGATTATTCCTGGTCGAAAAAACTGTTGGTAATGCTTTGTTCAAGGTACCAGAAGTTATAATTGTTGAGTCAGGTTTGTTTGCACAATCTCACAACTCCTTCAGTAAATATTTTGGAATCATGGGCCAGGCAATCGGTACCACTCCTAACAAACAGATTTTGTAGTGCCATTGATTAAATTAAGCCATTCATTCTGTCCTCTAATTAAGTTTCAGTATACCATTTCCAAAGTTGATGTCAATTCCTTTAGGATAAAATTGCAGTTCTCGAATCTCGCGCTAATTTTAATATCATTAATTTTAAATATATTGTTTTTAAGGAATTTCTGTATCGCATTATCTTCTAACCTAACACTGTGGACAGTAACCATCACATTGCGACAGGGGAGCTCTCTCTTTACCCCAATTATGCTAAATAGCTACCTTGTTATTCGTTTTTTCCCAAAATATTTTCGAAATTTAACTTTGTAATAAAGCCAGGCAGAAGGGAGTGAGGCCTATATAGGTCACTTAAACCAGAAACTAACACTTATACAATAATGAACTGACAATCTCGATTATTTGTTGGGTAAGCCCGAGAAGTACTTCGACATGAATTATTTGAGAAAGTATTCAAAGTATAGTTTCATAAATAGTGATTCCTTTGAAACTGCATATTAAGGGAAGTAAAAGAAGAAATTTGCGGGAAGTCCAAATAACTGATGTTTTAGTTTTTCTTCGTAGTTTCCGGTGGAATAAGCCGTCTTGTACGGAACGAGGATTCAGGATAATGAAGGGGTCTCTTTGTCACCACTTGTTATCCATAAATGAGAACATAACTACGTCATGTAACTCATTTATGACGTGCTTGCTTTTGTTGGTTGCATCAGAACCAATCAGCCAAATGCTTCCCCTTATCCAGAACATTGATCGTCCAAATGATACCGTAACAATATGCACTACTCGAGTGGGTAAGTTAAAATGTCAAGATCGTATCAGATCTTCATCACATTATTCTTGCTGTTTAATTAGATTTTATGATAGAGTGGACATCACGAGGTTATTTTAAATGATATATGGCAGATACATTTAAACTCTGAACAATTCAAATCATATTAACCGAATAAAGTGGTCAGTATTCTTGAAACTGTCATGATATGCCCAATATTAGCTACCTCATCAGTGGAAATAGCTCACAGGTACACAAAATTAATTTATGTAAAACATATTTTATATTAGGTATGCTCTCTTCAGATGGTCCATTGGTCACTGGTTATCCGAGTTTAACTGGCCAACAAGCAACACAGTTACATCAAAATGAAGCTTACTATAGTGAAATGGCTGCATTCGTAACAGTTGGACGTAAAAATGTCAAAATTACAGATTTATAAATGGAGTTTACTTTAATGGAGAAACTTAGATGCATTTGACAATCTAGTTAAATAAAGAAACGGTGGATTTTCTGTCTTATATTCATTGTCACCTAGTTTTCATATATCATTAATCGAATAATTCATATACTATAATTTTTTTTTTTTAAAAACTTGCTTTTACCAAATAAGAGGAACTTATAAAATGGAAATGAAAGGGAGGATTCATTTCCATTATATTACAATTATACTTAAGAATTATAATATTGATGGGAAATGACGTGATTACAAGAAGGAATGATTTGTAATCATTTCGAAACATACAAACGAATTGCTTTGAGCATTACACATACAATAGGATTCATTGTTAATGAACTAAATTCCATTTCTTCTTGTTTTTAATGAAGGAACGAAATACAGACAAATACAAATGACGTGACGTACAGTAATAGCGTTGACATATCAATAATAGAAATACTATTTAATATATAATTATTTGAAGTAATAATATCTGTTTAATTTGAATAGATGTTGGATGGACTTGTCACTTCACAATGGTACTCATTGCTTCAGGTACCGTAATTGAACGACCATATAAGTGTGTATGGTTGCTTGTTCCTCCTTTAATTTTTACAATAATTAAGGAATGCAGTCTAATTAGTTTCACTTTTCGTACTTATTTCATCACTACTTTGGTTAAACTTATTTGATTAGAATATTTTTAACAGTTAAATGTGGAAAAAAAAGTAACAAAAAGGGAAAATTTTATGATCTGTAACCATTTGTAAGCGCTAATTAGCCTGGAAGATGAAAATGGAGCATTTGACCTTGCCAGGCTTATGAACCAATGATACTGAAAGATACCAATAATTTGTCAAATTTTTGTATGTTTCTTACATTTCTCCTCTTTTCCTTGATATTTAATGAATCCTTAATAACCATTTCTGATTGGATATGTTTGGTAGCATTGATTTATTGTTTCCTTTTCGACCTCCTCGAACTAAGAACTCTTTTTTTGCCCGTCTTGACATCCTTACTCATTCTATCTTCATTTTTTCCTAACTGTTAAAAGGATAGTGACAAAATCACTTCCCTCTCTTAGCTTCGGGGACTCTGACCTGTATTGTCTTGTCGGAAGAATGGCTTCTAGAAATCGAATCAAAGTCTTCGGAACAACAAGCATCTGTTGTGCTAGCTTATTTCCTTCCTATATTCTTCGGACCACCTCTTTCCTCATTTATATTCGGATATTAATGTGCTTGCTTATTGAATTGTGTCCTGTATGTGCGTGCGTGTGTGTGTATGTGTGTGTATGTGTATGTGTGTGTGTGTGTATGTGTATGTGCGTATGTGTATTTGTATGTGTGTGTGTGTATGTATGTGCGTGTGTTAGTCGTAAACAGAAAATTGATTATTAAGGACAGTGTCACTGTTTGGTAAATTTAGAGGTGACAACAATTGAGGGAGAGGATTCAACTGATGACATTTGTTTACTCATACACTTAATTGCAATTTTAAAGTGGATAAGGAAAAAGCCGTTAGATTTGCTATGATTAATTGAAATTGAAAAATGACATGAAAAGTGTAAACAGAGAGGAAAATTTATTTCTTAAGACAATCTAACTAATCACGGTAATTATTTTCAACTTTTCCGGTCTAATTCATCATACACTTAATTACTACATATTTAAATTTAAATTTAGCATACTATGCACTATCATATAATGATGATACTTATCTCTCTTTATACTTAACTAATAATGATAATGAGTCAATCAAATCGAGCATGAGAATTAAGACTCAAAGTAGAATCCATCTAACATCCATAGCCTAAAATTTGGGAAAGCTAATTACAATGAAAAAAATTAGCTGAAGGTTGTCCAAACATTTTATAAAACTCAAAGATTATCAAGAGATGTGAAAAATTGAAAGGCTACAAAAATGATGACAATGGATGGTCATTTCCAATCAAAGAATTAAATAAATGATAAACATTCCCAGTGCTATAAGCTTTATTGGAGAAGATTGGAAGAAATTTTAGGCAGTTGTTGTGAGAATAGGAAAAGGAGGTATTTGAGCTAATTATGGTATATGAACAAAAAAGGAAATGTGGAAAGGGGACAGTCAACTCGTTCGATTGTTACTAATTGTTTACTTGTTATATGAATAAATAAATCCTCAAATAGATGAAATAAGTATGAGAATTATTCTTCAAGAAAAAATTTTCAAAAAAAAAATAATTCTTTCAAAAAATTAATCATTGTTTGGATGAAATGCATGGATGATATGTTTTATGAGAAGACCAATTGGGTCGGTCATTTGTTGTACAGACTGCTCAAATATCTCCACAATGATATGCTGATGATTATATATCGAGATGATGACTAAGAAGCTCGAAATGACCTTTACTCACCCAAAGCTTCCAAATGCATCATACTTCTTCATTATTGCATCATACTTTAACATTACCAAAAAAAAAAAAAAAAAAAAAAACAAAATAAAAATGGAGCAAAAACTTAGTTATAACAGTTTTTATTTAAAAAATTTGAATGGAGAAAATTTCAAGAATTTTTTGAGACCAATTGTTATTGCACCAATCTTTGTTCTTTAGACATATTGTTAAATGTCTAAGTTATCTACAAATTGGCATCACTAATGGATAGTGGGTAGGACATTAAAGAATGTTTAGTTCACTGATATTGGAATTAGATCGAGCTGAATCATTCCAAATTATTGGAATTAGATTGAGCTGAGTCATCTCAAACTCTCTTTCAAATTTACAATTTCCCGCCTTTTCCAACCTTTTATCAATTTATCACCAGACTGTATAAACCTTTTATTTTATGTTGCGCGATGCTATTTATTTTTGTTTTTTTTGGTTGTTGAAATGGACGGATTGCATCGCTGATGCATTTTAATTAAAAGGCATGTAATTAACAGTTAATCTACCTGGGATAATTTATTGGAAGTTTTTATTGTTAAACATTCAGTTAAATCTACATCTTGATTTCATTGAAAATATATTTGGAATGAATGATAAACTCTTCGATGCTTCAAAAACAAAACTTACTTGTTTAAGGATATTAGGACTACTTTGATATCACCGAAATGATCTTAATGGTGACAGATTTTGGGGCATGATTATTTAAAAACAGTTTCTTCTAGTCTTCATAAAAAGGGAAAAGAATGAATGAATAATCGTCAAAATTATTATAATGATCGTTTTTTCTTTGTAATTAATATTTTCGTTTAACGAAAGAGACTCCATCATTAGCTTAAGCTGAAGTAAAGCGCATAAATTTGTCCTCTTGCAGTGTTTCAATAATTTCAAATTCAAATATAACAATAAGATTGTTCGGTTTTTGATTATTGAGTTGAGAGATGTTTGTTTTTACCATTTATTATTAGCTGATATCCGTCCATAACCATAATAATGACGATTTATTAATTATCCGGAATTCAGATACTTATAAAAAGGAAAAGAACTTGATAAAGATTTGGAAATTAATGGTTTTTGAGAAAAAAAAAAGGAGCTAAATACATTTGAATGAAAGATAGAGAACAATGAAATAGAGCAAAAGGAATTTATAAGTGGTTATGTGTAAACCGGATAATTAGAACTATCGATATCCAGTTTTATAATTGATACATGTCTGATTTACATTTTACTGAGTTACCTGAAATTAAATTTCAAGTCTAAATGAATTTTCAAATAAAAATTCAATGCTTGAAAATTTGGCAAAGATATCTCTCACTGTTATGGAATGGCTTGTGAAGTATTGAAGTTTTGCAGAATTGTGTACTTCATATGGAAGTAATCCGCTAATAACAAAACAGCTACCAGAAAAATTTTAAATGGAAGAATTGTCGACATTATGATAATTTTCTGAAATATCAGGATAATAGTGGTGATGATAATAGTCATGATAATGATAATGATGGTGATGTTGATGGTTGATGATAATTGTAATGATAATAATGGTATAATGATGATACAAATGATCCTAGAGGCTTTTTTCTGGCAGTGAAAAGTAATGATAAAGTATGTATGCAAGGAGCGATGTGCTGCTGTATGCATCGAAAGGCTTTGCTACAATGCACATTTATATATTTTGCTCCTTATGTCATTTGATGCTTTTGCTTCGACTGAGGATGTTCATCATCTTACGTATGCGTGTGTACGTGTTGTATGTGTGTGTGTGTGTGTGTGTATGTATGTGTCTGTGTCTGTCTGTGTATGTGTGTATTTGTGGGTGTTTATGTCTGTCCATTTGCAAAATGATAAATTAAGAGCAAAGAAAGATTGCAGATAATTGCTGTCCGAATTCAATAAATAGGTTTTCATATCAGCTGCTATCAGTGATAAGTACATTTGAAAAAATATATGGCTACTCGTGATAATAAATATGTTAAAAGTGTATTGATAGTTAGGAAAAGTGATTTTCTTTGATGAATATGATAACAAAAAGTTGTTTCGTTTCCCGACAAAGGCCAGAAGGAAGGAGTTCATTTAAGTTAGTATTCATTTAAACTCATATTCGATTAAGAGCAAGATTGGCCAGATCTTTTATAGGCAGGACTTTTGGGATTTATTTATTCCAGTTTTGGCTTATAGTTGTAAGACTTTAAGTCAAAGACTTGACAATCGATGACATTCTAATTCAGTTTTCCTCACTCACTTGTTATTATTATTTTTCATTACTTTATTTTAGCTGAAAAATTAAATAAAATCACAGAGTGAATCGATAGAAAAAGTGAAATTTATGCTGGCATTCGATTCATTTAATTATATAACTAATTCTGATTCATTTACTTACATAATTTTAAACCAACGAATTTAAGAAGCAATTTAAAAAAATTCCAAAAGTATATAGGAAAATATATTATATTCAAAAAGGTTAGCACTAATAGTAATAAATTTTGAATTACTAACATACGTCTTAACAAGGATAAAGCAAATAAGGAAAATTATGCATAATTTGCATTCGAGCAATTATTCCATTTATCCCTTCATGGGTATATGTTAAAATAAATTAAAGTATAAATTTTGTGAGTAATAATATGCATGAATGGATTCAATTGATGCATTTACAAATGAATATTTGTGGTTTGTTACTGATCGTAAATTGCACTCAGCACATGACATGTGGAAATAATTTCAAAAATGTATTCCACAGAAAAATTCTTCAATGCAAATTTCTCATTAGAACAATACAAAACTCAGTGGAATATTTGGCATTTTTGATCACAAAAAAATATTATTTCCCTTGAAAATATTAAATAAATTTAAAACACATTGCTCCGCTCAACAATTACTAATTTCGAAATTTTTTTTCACAACGAAAAAAAAACAAAAAGTAGGAGAGAGAGAGAGGAGGAGGAGGAGGAGGAGGAGGAGAGAGAGAGAGAGAGAGAGAGAGAGAGGTAAGGTTCATTTAACTGGTTGATAATTCCGGGAAGCTGTAAATGTATAGGAGTTGGGATTCTGCTTGTCACTTGACGGTATATTCAGTATCGTTCAAATGATTACTAGATAAATCAACTTGATGCTCCCAGTCTTCCATGTTTTGCTAAATTATTAAAATAACGGGAGTATCCTAGTGATCGTATGCAAGTGCGACTATCAAATCCTTTTTTCCTTAATGTACCTGATTATGAAATAATTCATCAAAAAGAAAGAAACAGTAAAAGAAGTAGTACTTTAGCAAGAAACATCAGAAATACTAGTCTAATGAGTGTGATAAAAACAAGGAAGAGTTAAATTTAGTGTATTGACAGAAATTAAAAGAGAGAGTCACTTCACTTTCTGGAAGAGGCAAAAAAATACTTTCTTTGACAAGTGAAAAACTCACGAACGTGCTTCGCTACACTAAATTATTGAATTTAACCATTTCGTAGATGAAATTCATTTTTGCTTTCACTCGAATTTGCTTCGCTTATTCTACCACAATAGAAAAACTGAATGAATTAGACTTATCAAAAATTCTCCGATCATATTTTCATCAGGAAGTCTATTACAGCTTGCAATTTAAAAATAAAAAATAGCTGAGTGGGTATTTAGAAAGAAATGTACCGAAAGATATTTGAGATCACGCAAAATAACTCTTTCCAGGCCCGTGGTTTCCATATTTCATTCAAGTATGTACCCCAACAATCATCACAGAATGTGCAAGATGAAAACAACAGTCTGCTGACCAATGATAACATTCCAGATTTGGTTTATTCGTCATTTTCCTTATTTTCCTCCCACCCTTCTACTATGTTTTCTTCAGTTGTCGTCGATGTCCACAGTGATGAAATTAGTTCAAGTGAGTTGTTACCATTAAATGCTCCTCCTTATCCCATCCTTCAATCTTCCTCAAAACGCATCGATCGTTTCACTCTCTACTAAAGCCTATTCTTCCAGGCATGTCCTTAGCTTCACAAGAGTTGTTTTAGTGTGTTAAACGATGAAAGTAGATCGTAAGGGGCTTACTGCTTCTTTCCTCACATTATTTATAGGAATATTTGGGAGTGATGGTAAGTTTATCAGTAATCATTTTAATCTTTTCATTCCATATGTATTGTGCCACCAACTTATTCTTTTGATCTTTTTGAATTCATTATCAGTTAAATGCATCGTGATAAAATTATCACGTAGCAGTTAGTTATTTCAGGAGAGCACTGCACAGTTCGGATCACTTCATCCTCAGCAGTTGATAACGATTCACCCTTTTTCGGTATCTCAGGTATTCTCAATTCAACACAATACGTAGATAGCGAAGAACCGTTCAAATGCCAGTTTATATTCCTCGGTAGTGGAACCGAAAGAGTTCAAATTACATTCCTTTATTTCAATTTGTATGCGCGGATTCCCCATTTGAATAACATGACCAAAAGGTAAGTTAGTGAGAGTAAGAACATTGGTATTAAGCTGGTACTTCATTTCTGTTTTGTGATTTTTTCTGATCATAAGATTGCAGCTTATAGATGAACTGTAGATTCCCCTACCTGCAGTTGTTCAGTAAACCCAAGATAATACAGTGATATTTCCTTATCACTCATCATTTCGTGTCACTGAGTAACCCATCCAGTGATTCTTTAACGATCGGAAATAAGGGTGAACATGTTTGAAAAAGTATTAATGGATCCATACTGATGTCATGTTGAAGTTATTTGAGTTGATTGAAGGTGCTATGAAATGGACCACTTGTCAGCTCATGTACTGATAGGTACCCGCATGTCTCGAATCGAAGACTTCTGTGGTGCTGAAACACCTCCTCGGCTGATGTCTACCAAAAATCTATTGACTTTGGATTATGTGGTTCGATCTACCAAAGCAACAAGACGGATGATGGCTAACGCTAAAAATTTTGGATTTATACTAAAGTATCATTTTCGGTCTGATCTAGGCTTGTCAGAAATGAATGCTGAAGTAAGAAATGATTTGAGTGAGTTTGTTTTCGTTAATAAATTCCTTTTACTTCTTTCGCTTTCATATTTCTCCATGTACATTTGATACTCTTTCGTTTACTGCACACGTTGCATATTTTCTTTTTCAATCTGTAAGGAATATTTCATGTAAGAGAGGCAACGACTTGGGGGCTGAGATATACGAACAATCTAGAGATCGGTATTTCGACAGACTAGTGAATGAGTTGATGGTTACCTATCGTTTCTTATTTTAGAACTTACGTACTACTGCATCAATTCACCGTAAATGCAATAATCAAGATAGTAGTAAACTGGATTGCAGAGGGTTGTAATAATCTTAGTAATACATTTAATAATTTAAAATATGAAGTCGCGCAGTTAATTATGTGGGAAACAATTGCGGTACGTTTCAGCTTGCCATTATGAGTTTAATTCATCTCGGCGCAACTCAGGTGACATTTTCTCTCCCAATCATCCAGGATATTATCCTCGCAACATTGACTGCCATTACATATTTCATGGAACTGAGAAACAGGTCGTTGCTATACATTTTGAATATTTTGACGTGGAAGGATTAGCTACGTAAGTTTTCGACAACTTCTGATCTTCATATTCTTTATGAAAGTAGCAGTGATTTGGAGTACTATACATTCTTCAGCTGCGGTGACAGTACGCACAGCGATTACGTACTATTCAGCAACTACCAGACTCAGGATCGTACCAATCGTCGCTATTGCGGTCAGATTTGTCCAACAGACTCAATTGTTAGTGAATCGAACTATTTCCGGATGTTGTTTCGCTCCAATGATATCTTTGACGCCACTGGCTTCTATGCTCACTACCAATTTATTACAGAACGTAGGTCTTGACTAAAAAATGATAGTCTCTGTTAAATCAAATGTGGTATTCTCAACAAAATCCAGAACTTTCATATCATCCAATCCTATTAATATTACATCGCGCCATTAATTTTGAATTAAATGAGTGGCAGAAGGGATGACAGGGAAGATAGCAGAAGAAAAAATCAAAAATCACATGATTACTGATAAAGGAGATAACAGAGGTTTCGAAGTCTGTTATGTTATATATCGTTTCTGCTAAATTCTCTGAGGTTGAAAATACTTCGAATTATAATAATCAACAATTTCAATCGACAGCTTACCTGCGAAATGATTTTTACAGTGGAAAACAACATTCGTTGAACTAAAGTCATCAGTGATTAGTATCCAAGGATTAAATTACCTAAAATTTAGTAATAAGGTCCGGTGGTGCATTCTTTGCTAACAAGTATGCTCACGTATGAACAGCGCACAAGAAATGTCCATGTAGGGAGTGATGTTCACATTCACTTAGTTATGAATGCTACAACTATTTCAGAAGTTTCACAAATCAACCGCGTGAAAGTGACCACTAATTCGTGCTCCTTTGCAAAGTTATCGCCAACTTGGTCAGCTGTGCTACTATCTCTGAAAATCATTCACAGATGGATCTCATGATTGCATGATTTGCAAGAACTTTTGGAATGTAAGATCTCATATTAGAAACCAAAAGCCTCAGATCGATTCTCAGGTGTATCTAATAATTATCGAGTACTTCCCAGCAGTAATACTCTCTACAGTGGTACATCTCGCTCATCACTCTGAACATGTTAGGCATTAGCCGTTTATTACATAAAACTTCAGTTCTAAAGGGTAGAGTTCAAGCTTGAAGTTGCATGCAACCATTTGAAATCTGCATATTCACAGCAAAATTAGAGCATCTTAAGACTGCAACAAATTGAAATCATCGTTATGATATAGTAGTATTGGCTTTTACTAATAATAGATCACGACAAGTATTTCCCATACACTCAAATTCTTCAGCACAGTCACGTATCGCCAAACTGCACCATCGTCCTTCTACTTTGACACAGAGGCCATATTGACACATCTCACCAGATCGACAAACCTTCCCGAAACATTCTGAAATATTAATCAGTATACAAATTTTTTCTACTTCATTACTCTTAGCATGCCTTACATCGTGTAAACGTCTAATATTATTATTACCATTTTTTGTGCAACGCCCACTGATGCATACATAAGGTGTGGGACATTCTCCGTAACACAGCAACCCTTGAAGATGCCTACATTGACCCTCGCGACAGGCATGATCCGGTGGACAACGATTGGTGCAAGGATCCAGAATGCATCGTCCCTCTACACAAATTGTACCTGCATAAAAACCTCAACTTTAGGAATAACATGTACTGATGATGACATACTCCATATACAATACAAATGCCTAGTTTTCATCTTGCATAGTTTTCTGCGTTATTTGCAGAATCTGTATTCATTTTACAGTATTACATATTTTCTGGAAGTGCTAGGATCCGTATTATTTGAGAAATCACTGTAGTTTCAGTCGTCTTTCTACTTGTCGTCTAGTTTAAGTAATATCCGAATATATGGCCATGTTTCCCGGCACACTACTCATTAAGTCATTTATTTGCTATCAGGATTAGAATTTTAAACTGCAAAAATAGTATTTTGAACCGGATTTTTGGATATGTGTAATTAAACAAGCGCAGAAGTTGTCGTACCTCCTTGACATACCGCAGAAGTGCAGTCTTGACCGATAGCTGTCTGACACGTACCTTGTAAGCAAAACGAACCCGTTCCACAACTTACATGTGCACAACCTGCAAATCGAATCCAATAACGAAAATTAGAATCCTATTTTCTAGTTAACTCGAAGTTTAAATATCATGAAAACGTATTTGAATCTGAGACACAGTGCCCTTTTCGGCACACTTCACCAGGGTCACAATTGCATGCTATTGAGTGTCTGCTGGACAACATGCACTTGTTCTGATAACAATTGAATGTTGGACCACAATCGAAATGAGTTATACAGAAAGTATTGGTTACTGTCAGACATTTTCCATCTCGACAAATCTCATCTTCGGTACATTTTATTCCAACACATCCTGAAATGAATGATGACGGTGTTATTTTAAGGTAATCGGAATTGATATACCGTTGTTCGTTTGCTCTGAGCTCAGTGTTACTCACTTTCTTAGTCTTAATGAAAGGCATTAAAGGTATTTCATTCAGTTATGAATAGAGAAATAAATGTTATCACATGTGATAAGAAAAGAAGCTGCCAAAAAATTGATATAAAAGAGAAGTTCTCGCATATCAAAGTAAGGATAAATTGTATGCAGACTGACTGGATATCATTGTACAAGTTTTGATTTCGAATATCACCTTCTCCATGATTACATAAAACACTTAACTATCTTCAACACATCGACCATTGATACATCTTCCATTCAAGCCACAGTTGGAGGTTATGGATCTGAACTGATGTTCGGACAACTCTACATTTCGATTACAAGGCAATCCAGGTGTTGGGTAACATCGTCCCTGTTATGAAGTATAGCTGACAAATTTAAAAAAAAAAAAAAAAAAAAAACAAGTATGAAGAATCTCTTGAGAAGAGAATGATTAATTTGATAAAAGGAGGTTATGTCTGAAATTTCTCCGAGTATTCATCACTAATTAACTACTCACTTGTGTGTTCTCACATCATCTCGGTTTTCTTGAAAGTTTCGAAGAGTGAATTGAAAAAGTTATGAATTAAAGTTACCTTATAGCATCTGGAATAGGAATTGCATTTCACCTGTTCACAATTACGTGGTGCTGTTACATTGCTGTCAGAGTAACATTCGTTAGTTATACAGGTGAAATTCGCTGGACATTCAAACTGGCCAAATATGACCGGACAAAGTTCCGCAAAGGTATTATTCACGGAATATACTAATAATATAAGGAACACAAACATCTTCAATCTGAAACTAATTAATTATTTGGAGAGAAGACATGGAGATATAGCTATGAGAGATTTATCACATTATTTTAAAATGATTGAGGTTCATATTATTTGCTCTGGCTCTATATATGGTAATTTACCCAACCAAATGAATGGATATAAATTGAGTAAGGCATATCACAAAGCATCGAATTTTTATGCAAGCCAAGAAATTGCCAAGTTTTTGCTGCCTAAGTTAAAATAATAAAAGACACTGCTAGGATGACCGTAGCTTTATGTAGTAGTAGCCATATAATTGGAATTTAAATAGCTTAGTTGAAGGTATTATAGACTAATTACTGCATGCTATAAGTTGTTGGTCATTGAAAAAACAAATAAGCAAAACATATGTATTAGTGATAGTGAAAATGGTGATATTGTTGATAGCGTAGTAATTCTATCACAGAAAGTCGGTGTTAACGACAGTTGTCAGCTACCTGTCAATACAATTCAATCAGCAGTGACATCAAAATGATCGAAAAAAAAACAATGGGAAGGTTGATAGTGATTTGTTTTATCAAAATAGAAAAGGCAATTGGAAGATTCATTTGCTTATTTATGGTTTATGGTATTTCCATATTTCTATACCTGTTCCTTTTACTTTTACTTGAAATGGTAACATATGATAAAACTTTTACCCGCAACCAGATCAAGATGAAATTTGGCAAGGATTCATTCATTTCAACAATTTTATGGAATTTTTGTAGGAACTAAATTGGCGAATTTGCTATGTACGATAAATCAAACAACAGTTGATTGGCAATAGGGTTTGCAAAGTAGGTTAAACGATGCAATTTTCACGCTCCAAATCTATGAAACACTTTGCTATGCAGGGATCATTTTTAAAATGACTGTATAAATCGAAACACGAAAAAATGGAAATTATTCTCGATCAAGTGAAGTAAGTTATTCATGTTGTTGAAAGTGGTAAAGAATGGAATAGAAAGTGATTTTTGTTAATAAATAAAATAGCACAGAAGTGCTAATTAGAATATTTCTGAGCATTGTATCAAAGTTATGTCTGAAATTTTTAAAAATTTTGCTCTTCAAAATAAAGGTTGAAAACCCTGAACTTCTATTCAAATTGATTTGAAACCTTTTTCTTTTTTCTCCTCGTTTACTCACTGCTTCAATCTATTCAACTTTTCAAAACTTCAAACAATTATCAGACAGTGCCTGGAAAGTGTCATTAGTCATGAATTAGTTCAGAGCTTAGTTGAGTAAATTGAAATCCAAGTTAAAAGTATGCAAATTTTTGTTTTTCAAGATTTTTACAAGACAATTCAGTAATCACAAGTCTATACATTTGCAACGACTAATTGCACCAATCAACTTTGTTAGTCAAAAGTTAATTTTGACAATGAAACTATTATTGCTACTGATTAAGGCTTATGTTATCTACCTAGTTGAAAACTTAGTGTTATCTTAAAGTAAGTAGTATAAACTTTTCTATTTATAATAATCCAATTCTCGAGTAATAATCCGTAGTTTGTGGTAAATTAAATAATTTAAGGCATTATGGGAGACGATTTTATGTGAATGTTTGAGTCCGTATACTGGTTATTGAAATGCGTTAACAACACCATTGTCATTAAATGATTGATGATTTCTAAATTTAGTATAAGGCTTATTCGCTTTTGACGTAATCAGAGATATTAAGGGAAAAGATAGAAAAAATAATAATTAGGTAGCGGTTGCTATGGTTGTCAGAAGCATCTGCATATTTCGAATAAATCATTATTGTTAAAAAGGGCTTACCCATCTTCCGAGCTACTTTACTGCTGCTAATTCTATCGTCTCATTCTAACTGAGTTCTGAGTACTGATTTTAAAATTTATAGGTTACAAAGTATTTAAAAGAAAACTATTACCTATGGAATCACGAGAGCAGCGTACTGTTGCATATCTCAATTCACATCCCAAATTCCTGGAAAATTATGCAACCGGGCCAAACGTGACCAATGAGGTATTTCATCGCTGGTGTTCCAGGCGTAATATAAGGTTTAAAAAGGAAACCTTAAAAGAAATGAATAGACCATGGATGGTAAGCAATGTTCGACACATATTACAGATGAAACGTTTGCCAGCCATGTTAAAAGGACTTTTGTATTTAATACACATTTCATTTAATGCATAAATTTTGCTTTAAACACTTAGAAGAACTTATAAACGTAGAAATCAATGTGTAAAGGTAAGTGAGACAGGTCAAGAATAGGAATATCCTTCTTTGTTAACCACTCATTAAATCTGACAACGTAAAACAGTGAAACATTACCATATCCTGTAGATATCTACAATTTCATTGTTCATGTCACTTACTTATCATCTTCCCAATGGACTTACTCATTTCAGGCAGATAACCTGTCCGGTCTTCATAATTTGCTTATCTCCAATGGTAATAACGTGCCTCTCATTTTATATGAATTGGGATATGCTTGTGCACAGTTAACACATAATAAATTGTTTGATGTGATGATATATAATAAGAATAATGCTTACTTCATTGATCGAACAGGAAATAATGTCCAGTTAAAGGAAGTGACCAAAGAGAAACGATTGCCTGTCTATACGAAAAAAGTGGAAGACTACTTCGGAGTCTTGCTAGGTTAACTCCTTATTCCTGCTTATTATTATTATTATTATTATTATTATTATTATTATTATTATTATTATTATTATTATTATTATTATTATTATTATTATTATTATTATTATTATTATTATTATTATTATTATTATTATTATTATTATTATTATTATTATTATTATTATTATTATTATTATTATTATTATTATTATTATTATTATTATTATTATTATTATTATTATTATTATTATTATTATTATTATTATTATTATTATT